AGTGCCTGTCAATCTACATCACTCATGTTTTAGATTCATCACTACCGTGGCTAGTCTGAACCCAGTTAATACACATTTTCACCCTAAAAGCACTGCTATTCAAGCTGGCAAAACAAAGTGGAGAATTATTCATTTCACAAGTTCCTTTAAGTAATAACTTCTTGAGCATAGTTAAGTTTTCCTTTACAGATCACTAGTTATTGATAAAGAAGGAAAAGGTCATTACAGAAATGTGCTTAGAAAGCATTGTTAATAGAAATATCAAACAATGAAAATAAAGTCATTGCTAAAATAAGTCAATGAGGAAATACCAGTTTTATGAAAGGTAGCTATAGGGGCTTCCCTGGTGGTGCAGGGGGGTTAAGCACACTACTGTGTAGCTATCTGCAGCCTCTGCAGCAAGAGTTCAATCCCTGGCCAGCCAGGGAGCTACCCACATGGTGCAGCAGACCTTTTCCTGTCTTGCCCACTGCTCCCCGCCAGCAGCGTATTTCAGTCAGTCTGCCTGTTCTGTTCCCCGCTCTGTCTCTGATGAATCCTTTCACTCCCCCACACCTCTGGCCTATACCCCAGTTCTTGTATGCATAAATAAATAAATGTTTAAAAAAAATAAAAGGTAGCTATATATATATTTTTTTTCCTACCTCCCTGAACTTCTTCTAAAGAGTCAGGCGCATTTCTAAAAACTGTGACACTTTTGGCCTATCAGTAATGTTTGGTGGCCAGAACTTTGGAATTGGTATTCACTACCCAAATTAACATGTGTTGTTTACACTCTTTCCCTGAGAATTTATTTGGCTGTCTCTGTCTCCATTCCTGTCCATTACACTCTAAGTTCCACACAGTGACCTTCTTGAAGGTCAACCGGTCAATTCATTCCCCTCCTTGAAACTCTTGGGAAAGTGTATACTCCACAAAACACAAGGATTTACGTAGGTACTTGCTGTTCTCCCACCTCATCTCAGGCCATCATTCTCTTTCACTTCCATCCTAGAGCCACATGGGTCTTTTTTCTGCTCCTCACATATACCTCAGGATGTTATGAATGTTTTTCACTGCCCTGATCCTACCAAATCAGTCATTGTCTCATGTGTAAGACACAGAAACTGTCCTATTGGAGCTGCAACAGTCAAGTAGAGAGATGCCTTTTCCAGAAACCCAAAAGAATCATATAGGCTAGCAGTGGTCTTATGAGAAGGGCTCTTTTTTATTGCCTTCCCTCATGTTGAAATTCCATTCTGGAATTTGCCTTGGCTTTCTTTTGCCTGAAGAATGAGATGAAGTACTATTTAAGCCTAAAAAAAAAAAAACCAAAAAAACAGGACAGAGTTATCTCTGAGAGATCTTGAATATTGTGGCATAAAAAACATAATTTTAAAGACAACTTCTGTTTAAGAAATTCCATGGTTAAGGAGGATACTGTATAATAAGGGAGGAAGAAATTCCACAGGAGATAATCTTCAAGGGGAGTAGGAGAAATGTGGGTACATGAAGAAATGGTGTTTATGTCTATTCTCTTTAGACATTGAGGTCATCCAACATGAGACTAACGTCTGACTGCAAAAATTCTATCCAGTCCCCCAGGTCCTACATCCAATTAATCATGAAGGCTTGTTATCCCCAACATCATCACCCCTACCCAGTTCAGACCACATTTATCTTCCTCTTGGATGACTTCATTAGTCTTCACTAGATTTCCCTGTTCCAATCCTTGTACTGTGCACACCTCAGCCTTGGAGGTCTTTTGAAAATGTAGTTCTGATCTTGTTATTCCCCTTCGTCAAACTTTTCCTATTTCTGTTAGGATAAAGCTCTGACTTAAAATGATTTATGAGACCCTCCTTTTTCCTCTGTTGTCTACCTTTCCTACTTCATTTTAGATGCTTTTCCCTCCTAGCCCCTTTGTTTTAACCACAATATGTTTCCTGTGTAAGGATTCTTTCTCAGCCATTTTGGGGATACTTATGTTTTTCAGATCTCAAGAAAAAAAATATGTTAAAAATCAGGATATTATAATCTTATGAAACTTAGAGCTTAACAATGAACATAAGGGCATTGCTAATTTGAAGGGATCTGCTGCTAGCAAGTTGAAAGCAAGAAAGCGAACACTGACAAGTAGACTTAACAGTTTGGGCAACATTTCTGGAAACCAGCACAGAAACTGGAAGGGGAGAAATGGAGACTACCTAATAGTCAATCTTGCTTGTTTTGTTCGTGTGAAAAGTGAATCAATGGCTCTGTCTTCCAACAATGGATTAATTCTTACAAATAAAGAATTATTAACTTCTCTGTGCATGATATACCCTAATATAAATCTTATGAGAAGTGTTCTGAGAAATAACAAGTTGTAGGGTTGCTCAATAGGCAAAAACTGTAGAAGTCCCAGACACGCCTAACCCACCCTTCCTTCATGTCTCAAGTTAATGTCTCTTACTTCAGGAAGTCATACTGGATCCTTAAATCTGAGTTAGTGCCCCTCCATGTGCTCCTTCAGCACCACTCCAGTAACATTTATCCCACTGTGGAGGATTGGTGACTCCCTAAGGAATGACATTTCCTGATTTTCATAACCTTATGTGAGCCCCTCCCATGTGGACTGTGGGTTTGGACATGTGATTTGCTTACGGTTATTAGTCAGAATGATAGAAACAAATGATTGATAGGACTTGCCCAGTGAGACTTCAAACACTCCACCTTGAAAGCCAGCTATTACCTGCTTGAACTAGGCTACTGTGTGATGAGAGATTGCGGAGGATGAGAGGCCATCTTGGACCTTTCTGTGCCCACCAAGATCTGAATATTACGGCTAAGTACATGATGCGAAAGAATTCCCCAGCTGAGTCCAGTCTGTTCATGGGATTGTGAGAAATAAAAACCATTGTTTTTCCAAACCATAGAATTTCAGGATCATACTTTTACACAGCAATAGATAGCCAAAATACATTGCATTATAATTACCTGCTATTTCTCTTTGCCAACAAACTATTACTTCTAGGAAAGCAGCTCCAGGGCTTGCCTTGTTCTAAGTAGGAGTACAATAAATAATTTTTGATTGACTTTTCAAATCCCTCCATTAACTTGAATTTGACAGCATTGCTGACTCATGATCAACTTACATTAAACAGGAGTTTGTGCATTTTGATTCTACTTTCATTAAAGTCATTAATGAAAAGAAAAGGTAGCCATCTGTGACTTTTAGTATCTCCTGCTGAAGCTAAGACACCACATCAAGTGAAAAAGAATTACTACCTTTAAAAATCTTTACATTTTTGTTCTTTTTTGCTTTCCTTTGCAAGCCAATTTAGATTGAGCTCTCAACTAGCAACTCTTTTGAAGCCTTTTCTTGGCAAGCACCTCTACTTTCAAATATTCAGTAGAATTGGGCAGGCTAGGAGTTAGAAGATGGTGAAAGGGGGAAAAAAGCTTAAACTGAACCCAGGCTAAAAACTTTTAATCAGGTCAGCCTCCAACTCAGCACCCCAGCATGAGGCCATCATTGCCTCTCTGAAGTATAAAGAGATTTTTATCTTCACCATCTGGCAATTAATCACTAGCTCTCCCCTGGTATCTCTTCTCTTGTTTTCTTTACATTTGGTTCTGCCATTTAATTTTTCATAGGGTTTATGTCTGACTTCTTTACTGAGTCAAGCACAATAAATAGCTCCCGTGGAATGGTTTTTCTCTAAGTAAACCTACCTAAAGGTGAACTGGAAAGACTTCAAACAGCCCAGGGAAGGATCGCAGAGATGGCAAAGGGGCGAACGTTTGCCTGACGGCCCCACTTAATTTCTGCTTCTTTGTCTCAGTTGTTCCCGGTACTGTGAGGAGCCCTGGATTGAAACTTGGTCTGTGGAGGTATCCAACCCCAAATTAGGGACTTTTTTAACCTTTAGTATAAGGGACAGATGATATACAGATCTCTGTCTCTCTCTGCCTCTATAACTCTTCCTGTCTCTTTCTTTTTCTTATCTGGAAAGCTACACTGTTCCTTCATAGCTGAGTAAAGGAAATTAAAGGCAAGCCATCCTGCTGTTGACTTTGGGCATCCATGCTGTGGGCAGTCTGTGGCTAGGACCTGGGGGTGACTTCAAGAGGCTGAGAGCAACCTGTGATAACAGTCAGCAAGGAGTTGAGAGCTCAGTCCTCCACTCTAAGGAAATGGATTCTGCCCACAGCCAGTCAGCCCAGAAGAGGCTCCTGAGCCCTGGATACCATCACAGCCCTTGTGTACACCTTGATTCAGGCAGGGGAGTCCCTGAGCAGAGGACCCAGACAATCGGAGTCTGAACCACTGGTCCTCAGACACTAAGGTAGAAACTGCCCGGTGTTTTAAGTCACTATGGTGATTTGTTGCTGGGAGAGAGAACATGAGTCTGACCTTTACTCCCCCTCATTGCTGCTCAGCTCGCTGGGAGGAGCAAAGTGCGGGACAGAGTGCTGCTCCACTGAAGGGTAACTGAGCGGTACTGACTTTGAACTAGAGATGCTTTCAGTCCTCTCCCCTTTGCACCATCACCCTCTCTCCCAAGCCCCAAATTTTCAGTGGGCACCGAAATGGAAGTTTCATGCATGCCTCATAAAGCTGACCATGGGTCCACAGGTCATTGGCACTGTGCCCCCCAAGTTGTACCCTGGCCAAAACTCATAACACCCACAGAATGGAACATGAAGACTGCAAGCCAGATTTCCCAGTTCTGAATGCCATGCTTTTTTCTCTGTGTGCTCTGTGGAATTGCATGCGTTGCTCAAAGGCTTGAGGTGGGATGTGAGAAAAGGAGGTATTCCCAAGTTCCTAACTAGACTGCAGGCCCCTGTCTCAGAATCTGTGGGCCAAGGGCTTTGGCCTGAGGAAGCACAGTGGGAGGGGTGGGAGCAGATAGTGGTTCTGCTTCTCCTTCTCGTGAGCTGACCTCCTTCCTTCCCAGCTCACACATGCACACACACACACACACACACACACACACACACACACACTCTCACGCACAGGTCAGAAAACTCACCTTCTCTTTGAGTCCTCCAGGCTGTGCTTTCCTTCCATGGCCCTGTCATCAATTACAAGATCCAGTACAGCCCTGTCTTGTGAAGGACTGGCCACTTCTCACCACTATCAACAGTCTTTGACCCTGTTCCCAGGAGGCAGCAAGCTCAGGTAAGAGGATCAGGGGGGAGGAAAGGGTGCTTCTTAGTGACCCCTTTCTTTATTATCGATACTATTAAAAAAGCAAACAAGAGAAAGAAAGGAAAAGGGAACATTTGAGCAAAAGTGGAGTAGAAAAAAATGTGCTTCTGTCCGAAGTGTGAATAGGGATTGACTTCAGGGGAGTAAAAAAAGATGGAAATTGCCAATAGTGACATGATCCAAATACCAGTCAGCAGTGTGTTTTTGTTATCAACCACTCACTGCGGGTATGGGCTTTGGGCAAACTGTGCTGTTTTCTTTTTGCATAAAGATAAGAAGAAATAATATTTGAGCGGTCAAAGTTCAAAATCGGTGGATTCTTTCTGAAAAATGCTGAAAACAAGTTAATGAAGTTTTAATTCCTGGAGAGATTAGCCTCCAGTGCTGGCTCAGGCATTATCTTTCCTCAACACAGCTTGTCGCCACTGATAACATGAGCTAATCTTGTGTAAGGTTTGGGGTACTTTTGTGCTACCCTTTTTTGGGTGTTTTGCCCCCAAACCTGAAACAGCTGCTGTTTCCAGCAGCCTTTCTCTCTATAGCTGCCATTAAAATATTCTTGAGCATCATAAGATGGAAAATGAGAAGCCCCAGGGCCAAGCCCTGCTTCCCTGCTTCTTACCAATCTCTAAGGAGTATTGAAAAGAAAACGAGGTTGCCTGTTCTCTTCTGCTCTGTTCTTACATGGTTTTCCCCTTCAGCATGTTATTATGCAAATGTGCAAACATACAGCAAAGTGTCAAAACTCTTATCACCAATACCTACCTCCTAGAACATGACATTAACATTTTACTGTACCTGTTTTACTTCTATGCAACTCCTAATCCACCCACTAATTGTTCTTGTTTTTTAATGCTATACTTAAAAGTAAACTAGGTCATCAAATACACTATCCCCTAAATATCCCAGCATACATATCATGAATGAGAGGTCAGAATGTGTTTGCAGGTTTTTGTAATGTAAATTTTACACATGGCGAAATGCACGAATCTTTCATGCACATTGGCTGAGTTTTGAAACATGCATGCATCTTTGTGTATAACCCTCAACAACAGAAATGTTTCTTCACTCTGGGAGATGGCTCTGCCCCACATTACCAATCAATGACTGCCCCTACACCACCCTCAGAACCTCTTTTGTGATTTTTTTTCCTCTGTAGATTCGTTTTTTTCCTTTCTAGAATGTCATGTGAATGGAACGATACTACTTGAACTTTTTCATATAAAGCATCTTTCTCTCAACAAGATGGTAAGATGCACCCATATTGTTCCTTTTTACTGATAAGCTGTTTTCTCTTGCAGGAATGTGCCTCAGCTTGTTAATCCATTCTCCCATTGTTCCAATTTGAGCATATGACTTACATGTGCTAAAGAGATCAAACTGAAATTGCAAAAGATTAAACTAATGACAAGAATTAAACATAAAATACCACCTACATACATAGACTTACTCATGAAATCTTAATTTTAGGCTAGTGAATTAATTCTTACATGTAGTTACTTACAACATGTATTTGTTAACACAATATATAGAAAAGAAATTTTAATGGAATAAACAGACAAGAAATATAGGTAATTAGCTTATATTTTCTTTACATAAAAATAAACACCAAGTATTTATTTTTTTTTCCTAAACCAGCCTGACATTTTAAAATATACTGGCCCATGGGTGCTAAAGATTCTGTACCCTGGTCACTGTGTTTTCCTGAGAAGAGAGCTTCCACCGTAGTGGTAAACTGTGCTCAAAAGGAGGGAGTGAAAAGAGTGTGCAGGCAGTTGTTGAACCAGGCTTCTTGCAGACAATGGACACAGCACTGGAGAGTCCTTTTCTGTCACACCACACAGCTGCACTTTGGGTTAGTTATGGGACCATTTCCATAAGGCAAATTTTTCAATGAAGCAGGAATATTGAGTTCCCAGAATCACCATGTTCTTTGCACTCCGGTTAAGTTGGTGACAGGAAGAAGGTCACTTCATGACACACAGAGTGACCAGGACACTGCCATGCATTTCTCCTGTCTCTGGACTTTCTAGATGTGACCTCTTAGGTGTACTCTTTGGAAGGGAGCCCACTGGGACCAGACAGACATTTCTGGAGTGACTCAAGCATAGCATGTTTCCCTTAGCATCTTTCCTGCTCAAAGCTAGGTGAAGAAGTGGCCCATAATTATCCTGGCTTTTGGGTTGAATGTCAGTGTGAACCCACTAGGCCCCATCATCATCCCAAGTATGGGAAGTCATAGCAAAATTTGAACATGGAAGCTCAATATTCCATAACTCAATCCCCACCTACCTGTCAGCTCTTCCACAACCCTGCCACAGGGGAACACACCTCATTATCTAGATATTCGTTGCTATCTTCCTCTTCCAATAAATAGTGAATTCCTCAAAGGCAGGGACCATGTATTTCCCTCCTCTCTGGAAGACATTGTAGAAATATTCAAATTAAGGCACTTATTGAAAAATAACCATGGACATGTTGATTGAGGTCCACTCAACAATTTGAAAACATTCCCCAAAAGATTTTTTCTTTTAAATTTGGCAAGTGATTTATTTTGAGAAAGATCTGTTTAAATTTTTGTTTAAAAAAAAAGCATGTAAATAAAAGCCTGAAAAACTTTTCAAAAAATAAATTCATCTCAGTCTATCTCATAGCCAGAACATGCCAACTGAAGCAATGAAGTGTTGTGAAGTTTTTCATCTTTTCTAAAATGGTACAAAAAGTTCTCTTAATTGTATGATTGCAAAAAAAAATGTATTAGTAAAGGTGGATTACAATTCTGCCTCCCTGTCAAAGTGGTGGCAGGAAGAACAGCGACTGCCATAGAGGGTCAGAGAAATAAAAATCTGTCATGAGACATTCTCTTGCCTTGGATGCCTCAGTGATCGCCAGCCTTCCAAGGAGTATCACTCTGTAGGAGCAGTAGGATTGTATTTCTAGAAAGGGGTAGTAAAAATCTCTCCATTGAGCAAAAGTCACTGTGGTAGATGAGGAGCTCAGTTGACACAGGACAAAATGTTCTTGCACAAGGATACACATACATTGGAACCCTGATTATGAAAGGGAGGATGTGCCCTCTGTGGAAAGTGGCTAGTTGTTAACTTTAAGAGTAGGTAAAAGGCCACCATGCCATTTCCTATTGAATTGAAGGTGCCACTCCCCTAACTTTTATTGCTACTTGGCAGTCTGAACATTTTTCTTGTGAGCTAAGCAAGAAGAGCCAATGTAGACTGAGGCAAAGCAAACTAGCCAGAGATAGAAGCCTGGCCCTGTGATGTAGCCGCCCTGTTGAAAGGACACCAGCTGTTGCCGCTTCATCCATGCCCAGGAGTCATCTAGCATGATTCACCAGGCCTATTTGAGGCAGGAGACTTGAGTCCTGTTTCATCAGACTCTTATGGACAGTTTTCCTCACTGATTTCTCTTCATGCAACCGCAGCCTGAGCTAAATCAAAGGGCAACTTCTGCTTGGATTTCCACAAGAAAGCATCCCCCTTCCCTGCTGCAGTCTTTCAAGTTCCCACACTCTGTGGTCCTGACTGTGTTTTACAAACATGGAGCCAACAGCTTGCCAGAAGCCCAAGGTCAGCGCCTAGGAAACTTATCCCTGCCTGCAACTGTGGGTCTTGGAATAAACTCGAGTCCTTGAGGCGGTCTGCCTGCCAGGTGGAGGCAGAGTGCTCACACCAGGATAGGCGGGTAACCAATCCCTCCTAGTTTGCCAGAATTTCCTGGTTTTAACACATTAGGCAAATGGGGATAATAGGTGTTTCTACTCCCAAGACCCCTGGTCTTGTAGCTGCTGCCTCTCTCCCTACTTCCCTGCCCAAACAGCTGTGCTTGTCCTGAGTTGAGGAGACAAACCTTACCTTGTAAACACAGTGGCTTAATGAAACAGATTATATTTTCCTCTTTGCACTTTGCACTGCTGCAAGAAATCTCAGAACCAAATCAGTGACCATTCCTTAACACAGAGGAGGTTACTTGAAGCATTTAGTCTCTTGAGATTTCTCCTGCCAATCTTCCTCTCTGTAGTTTCTATTTGCCTTATTTTATTTGACTGTGTAAAGGCAGGACTGGGCACAGTGCAGGTTTTCTGATCCCATGCAGACCGGGTAAAGGAGGAGTCTCAGTCCTCAGTAGTTTTGCAGGTTTTTTATTTGGGGTTCACCAGGCATATGGCAGGCAGGGGTGCTGGCTGGGGGGCTGGGAGGTCTTCACTCTATCTGGACTCTCTGGCGTTCGTTCTGCTGCTTCTCGGCTGCTTTCTCGGCTTCTTGGCTTCTACTGCTGCTGCTGCTGCTGCTGCTGCTGCTGGCGTCCCCGTGACGCCGCCCTTAAAAGCATAGTCTTAACTCAGCTGAATCCCATCTACCTATGCCCACACCCTATTCCAGGTGCCCGCCATCAGGCATGCATTCAGGACAAGGATCCATCATCTATCCTGATGGCGGAAGGGCAGAAAAGCCTGACATTTTCTTTACCCTACAGACTGTTTGCTTAATTGGCCTTTGTAGTCCAGGAAGGCACAGTGCAGGATCTCTGTGATACGAGCAGATGGGTAAAGGAGAATCCTGGAGCCCTCAGTGGCTTTTTAGGATTTTATTGAGCTTTTACCAGGTACACGGCAGGCAGGGGTGTCAGGGGCCCGGGAGGCTGGCAGGCTTCCCAGCCCCCGGCGAGTCTTCACTCTTTCTGGGCTCTCTGGTGTTCTCTCGTGGTGTCCCCACTGTCTCTGCTTCTCTGCTGTTCCACCACTGCTACTCTCTCTACTCTTTTTCTCCTACTGGTGTCCCCTGAATGCCGCCTTATAAGCCCCATCTCTGCCCAGGTGTGCCCAACTATGCATGCCACACCCTACTCCAGGTGCCTGCCATCAGGCATGAACGTAGGACCACAGGGATCCATCATCAATGCCAATGGCCAATGGCAGGAGGGCAGAAAAGCCTGATAATCACTTACCCTATAGCCTTATTTTAATATGGTGCATGGTACCTCTCTTACTTTCTAGTGTGCAGCTTTGTAACTGTTTTAAGTCCTTTTTGAAAGACCTCCAAATTGTTAGATCCATCTCAGCCCCTTGCAGGAAATTTTCCCTAGTGTCCCACACTCTTC